ACTTGGGATGGCCAATCCAGCTTAAGAATAGACGCCATTGACCCAACTGGTGGGTTACCGAGCAAGCCCGGCAACACCGTATTTAGCATGTGCCTTCTCTCTGCATCCGCCTCGAAGCTAACGATGTGAGTTGTTCCGTGAAACCCAGGTTCCGGGTGGTCGTCTACAACTCTGCACCAGACACCGAGCTAGGATGCCGCTCCCCGCCTGAGGGGATAGCACGCGTGCTGGGAAGGGCGCAAGAGGGGGTGGGGTACGTCTGTCGCGGGAGCCGCCGCCCTCACGCCCTCTAACTCCATTAGGGCGCCGCCGTCTAATTATCGCCGCCCTGCGCCGTCCCGCCGGAAGGGCGACGCCGGCGCCTTGCCACACTCGGCACGTGGGCTCTCCGTGTTGGGGCTAGGGGCGGTGTGGTTCTTAACGTCGTTGAACCGATAAAGAGCGAATAATGCGCGCAGTTCAAGTTTGTGACTTGTGTCCATAGCTCAGTGGCTGGCTCGTACGAGTACACACTCCTTCCTATAAGACGCAACATATGCGATCTCATAGAGAGAAATTTCAGTTTCCCAATCAGTCAAGGTCGCTTAAAGTAGTGGTCGGCAAACTTATGAAGCTTGTAGGCAACATTCCGTTTTCAATCCAACTGTAAGCTGGCAAGAACCACAGAAAAAAATATTAATGTTTGTTTATCGTTTATAAACATACATTTCTATTAAATATGAAACAAATTTTAGTAAAAAACACAAGAAAAAATAATTGAAATAGAATTGCATTTCACAAAAAAAGAAATATAGTTAGTAACAATTGATAAATGTAAGATCAGATTTTTCATCAGTCTCGTTAGTCAGAAAGATGACCCTTCTCTTTCAACTTTTTTTTTGGGGGGGTAGATAGGCTAGTGACTGACATTCAAATACAGTTGTCACAAACATCAGTTGGGAAAATCACTGCGTGGGGAAAATGTTTCCGCGAGTCATCTGTCTGAATTCTGTAGAATAAGTCCAACCCGAAAATCGCCCCACGAGCTAGGTACTCGTTGCCAGCGATCGACGATTTTTCGATCAAAGTCTCCTCGGAAGTGTTGTTGTCATTCCCAAAATGTGTGATTTCCGGCCATTTCCAAGCTTCACCAAACCACTTCGTCCATCACCAAAGGCACCAGCATCGACCGGGATTTGAACCTGGGATCCACTGGTGGAAGGTTAACGGACACTGTGCATCATGCGCTGGAATAGGACATGGACGCTTTTGTACAGCTGGCGCAACTCGGCTGTGGCGAGGGTTGCCTGCAGAGAGTCGTCAGCGTCACAGGTCTTCCCCCGCCATGCCTCGTTCCCGCCGCCCGCCCCTCCGCCCGCCCCCTCCCTGCGTCCGCCCCTAACAAGCTCCACCCGGCCCCGCCTCCTCCTTCCTACCTCGCCTTCCTCCTCTCCGCCCTCGCCTTTCTCTCGCCCGGCCGCTGTCGTCCCTCGCGCGAGGCGAAGCTCGGTACGGAACCCGCCGCGTGCGCCGCCATGCGCATAATTACGTCGGTCACGACACTGCGTCCGCACGCCTGCCCCGGCGCCCGCCGGTGCCCCGCCCCGACACACACAACGGACGTTGAACGCTCCGTTCCTCGCGCGCCAGCTCGCTAGGCGCAGGTACGGCTCTGGAGTGGAGGGAACGCACGGTACAAGGGAAGTCTGCAACTCCAAAGTGCGTGAGCTTAGTTTGGAATGGTGTTTGATCAAAACACGGAAATATGATATTGAGCAGTGGCGAATTTTTTTTTATTCAAAGAGTTTTGGTCGAATGTGTCATATTACACATAATATAGAATGACGCGGGCTTAACTCAGTTCATGTTGCGATACACTTTTATTTGTTTTAATGTTTATACGAAAAAATTTTTGTTTTGAAAAAAGTTTCATGACAACTAAAAATTAATACTTACTGAAAAATTTTGGGAGGGGAAATTTTCATCATTTCCCTCCACGTGGATCTGTTGGTTGCGAACATGTATTTTTCTCATTGTGCGGTTGGTTTTTTCCTACTACCGGAGCTTTTGCTGCCTATGTAAAGGTGTTTGGTGAAGTAGCATCGAGCGGAGCGCACACGAACAAATCACTTTTACAGCGCACTCGTATTCTTTGCGTTTCGCACTAACGGGGATTAATTTTCATAGTGATTCCGGGCGTGTCAATTGTTACGTGAAGTGCATGTTGTTTTCTTATCACGGGATCACCCTACTGTATGGCGAGATCCCGCGCCAATCTACCATCAGCTTCCGGTTTTCCCGAACCAGGTACCTCCCTTGAGCATGGCACCGCCCTAGCCGACACAAACTGTAAGCTCCTGATAGCTCTCCCAGCATGGTAGAGCAGTGCTTTTATATCTAAGCACGGGGTGTGGATAGAGCAAGGAGGAGGAAGGAAAGATGGCTCGCGTTCCGTGGCCCGTTTGTTAGGGTACTGCTCTGGCAGTCACCTGATGTTGATCGTTGAAACCACGGAAAACTACTGAGCAACCGGCCGCTAGAATTCTTCTCCGGCTGAATTTGCCCTAGCTGTGTAGCTAGGGTCGAAAATCCTGCTACCGTCGGGATTCGAATCTTAAGACCTTCAGAGGCACTGTAGTGGCATCAGCTGATGCCCTGGGCCAACATGATTGCCCCCGCAAACCTCGTAATGATGAATCGGTTCGAGCTAACACTTGCCAGTGTTAGTGAAACGGTGCATGCGTGTCTTGAGCGTTGCGCTCGCAAGTGCGTGCGCGGAGGGCGAGGCGGGTGGACGGTTGCGGCGCGCGAGTGGCACAAGGCCGGCCCGGCCTCCGCCTCCGCCTGCGCCTCCGCCTGCCCCGGAGGTAACGGCGCCGCGCGTGTACTGTTGCTCGCGGGTCGAGGGGTCATCGGCGGACGCTCGCCTTCACCTACTGCGTCGCGTGCCTCCTGCTTTGCCTTTATCCTTCTCCCGCCCCTCCTCGCAGCCGCAGTCGCCTTCTCCTTGCTTGGTCCTTGCCTTCTCTGCGCCCTGGACACGGCATTCGCCCTCATCCTTAACATCCTCCTCCTCGCCCCTGCCCTTTCTCTTGCCGAATGCTTCGCCCTTGCCCTTGATCTTGAACGCGTCCTCACATCACCTTGGATGTCCTCACCGTTACCTCGGCCTCGCCCTCGCCCTCGCCCTTGCCCTTGCGTCCATTGACGGCGTGAGTCGCCCCAGCACTCGACCTGCGTCTCACATCGGCGTCCGCCATGTTGGCCCAGACGCGCGGCGCCTAGCCGCCTCAGGAGTAAAGCGACATCGATGTTGCCAAACATCGATATTCAAAAGAAAACATCGATGTTAATTCATTAACCAAAAACCATTATTTTTTTAATTTATTTATTTTATATATGTAAGAAGCACAGAGTTAGACTTCTGCCTCCAAGTGCATATGCAAAGAACCAGAACGGATTCGTATTCTGTTAGATGAAGGTAGAATCAACCGTCTTAGTTTGCTTCAAACACATATGCTGACTATTTCGTTGTTTTTAACTTTTACTAAATTGTGATTTAGTGAATTTTTCATCCATGAACAAAATATGGAAACTTAAAAACATCGAGCCCAAAACACCGATTTAAAGAAAAAAACATCGGCCTCAATACATCGATGTTTTGAATGCATCGTCGTCGATCCGCCGGAGACCTGCCCCTCCGCGTGGTGCCGCAGCTAAACTTAGCAGTTGGCCTCGTCCGTGGTGTCTCCTTGGGCAATCCTGCTGGATGTCGCAGGCCTCCCCAGTGCACTCCACAAAACCTCTGCCACCCGCCTTCGTGAGGCGTGGGTGATTGCACCATGTGGTTCTGGCATGGCTGGCTTTAGCGAGTTATTGTTGTCACTTGTCTCCACCTAGCAACGGAGGGTCATTTTACGGCTGTGGATAAACAAGCAGAAGGCTTCGTGAGGTCGTGGAGTCGAGATTGAGAGCTTTTGGTCCCACAGGTTGTGGGTTTCATTCAATAGACTGATTTGCTGAAGATATTAGCAACATAAATTCTTAATGTTTGGAGAAGTTAATACGTTTTGGGAACCTGCTAGACAGAAGTTTTGAGATAAAATTGTTGTTCTTGTTGTTGTGAAAGTCTCCTTTCGCATAAGGAGAAGTAGTCCTCGGAAAACCGATGAAGTACTATGACTCCCTGGCCATTGAGTCGTTGCAGCTTGCTCATGCCGTGGCTCATGCTGCCTCAGCCTTTACTCGCATCCTCATTCAATTTAATTCAATTCAATAATGCTTTATTTTTTGGTGGTGAGACTCAGGCCATAAGGCTTGCTCTTCCGTCCGACCACGCAAATTTCGCTACGCTCCGTTCACCATCTAGCGGCGAAAGGAATTATTACTCGAGCGACGAAACAGGCAATTCGAATTTAGCTCAGAGTCTGCTTTTAGGCTTTAGGAACTTTTACGTGTAGTAAATCTACATGGGACAGCCTGCTTTACTTCCCCTCCAAAGGAAAACATACGAAGGATTTTTTCGACCTTAACAATCGAGGGATTCGGTCGGATGTGAACAGGCATTTACATTTCTTGCTCACCCCTAACTTCACACATACAGTGGAAGACAATTGCAAACTATCTACGTTCAGAATTGGCACTTATTTACACTTATTCAAATTCATCAAACTACTGTTTGACGAAAAGGTCGGACTGCAAAAAAAGTTAACAAGGAATGATGCATGATTTTTAAGTTGGGTTGAGGAAGAACTTTGAAATTGAATGAGTCGATTTAATACTTTACAAGTTTAATACTTTCTGCAACTTTTCCTGAGATTGTTTTTCTGGGGAGGGCGCTGCCCTAGAGCCCTTAAGGAGCAGCGGCCACTGCGTGTGCCGTTTCAGTGCAGCCAGTTTCTTCTGCTCCAGAACCCTATTTGCCTCACTGGACAGCAATATTTTTGTGGAATATTAGATTTAGTTGTAAACGAGCTTCGCTCGAGCCTGTTGTTGAAACGTGCGCTTTCTACTTGTCCCAGGTGTCGGCCGGCCAGCACCTGCAGATGAGTGGCGAGCTGAAGCCCGGCGTGTCGGTGGCGGCGCAGCAGGGCATGTACTTCAGCCAGCAGACGGCGCCTCCGTCGAGCGAGAGCTACAGCGTGTCGCAGTCGCAGACCATCAACTTCACGCAGCTGAACCTGCGGCAGCGCGCGCCGGGCGGCGGGCGCGGCGGCGGGGGCGGCGGCGGCGACCCGCCCACGTCCCGCCAGCAGCAGCAGCAGCAAGCGCAGCAGCAGCAGCAGCAACAGCAGCAGCAAGCGCAGCAGCAGCAACAGCAGCTGCTGCAACAGCTCAGGGTGCAGCAGCTGCAGCAGCAGCAGCAGCAGGCGGCCCAGCAGCAACAGCAGCAGGCGGCGGCTGCGGCGGCGGCGGCGGCCCAGCAGCAGCAGGTGCAGCACCAGCAGCAGGTAGGCCCGCACCCCTTCCACTTCTGGGTTCGAATCCCGGGCGACACGGAATGGAAAATGGAATCTATCTTGCATAGGAGGGAGGGCGTTTTATGGACCCTGTGCCCTGCCACTCAGTCCCACATTTATTCGACCTCATCGTCATTCAAATTATATATCACTCGCTCATCATTCATTTCAGATTTAGCTGAATAGGCGAAAGAACAGACGATCCTAATAAATTCTTGGGTAGTTGAATACTTAATCTAATAATTATATAAAAAATATCAACAATACACATAATTATAAATAGAGATTAATGCCACCAACATGATGTTGCATCATGGGAATATACAGCAAACTCTGCAGCCATATTTGGGGGGAAATCCGTTGAACTGAACATTGAAGCTTGTACCAATATTTATAAAATATTATGTAGAATTAAATTTGTTTACAAAAATATATGAGTTGATATGGACGCATGGGAAGGTTTGCAAACTGTTAACACTATAATGAGACCAGTGGCGAGTGTGAGATCTGTGGCAATGAATAAAAGAGACATGCCAACACATGAAACCATTTGATCTCGTACTAAACAAAATTGAATGTCCCTAAGAGAACTTGGTTGCTGCGACAGGCGGCAGCGGCGGCGGCCGCGCAGCAGCAGGCGGCGCAGCAACAGCAGCAGCACAACATGGCGGCGGCCGCGGCGGCGGCGGCGCGCATGGGCGGGGCCCGGCCCGCGGCCCCAATCGCCGCACGGGGGACTACAAGGAGAAGGCGCAGCCAGCTGATCACGGGCTGATGAGGCGGGCGCAGGCGCCGCGCCGCAGCCAGCAAACAGCAGCAGCGCTTCCGGGCAGCGGAGCCCGCCAGCGGGCGCAGGCGCCAGCAGCCCATGCCGCCCCGGTGAGGCCCTCGCGCGAATCGCAATAGCGAGGGCATTAAAAAGCGGTCGCACTGACACTTCGCTCCGTTCCAACGAAATGAAAACTACTAGCACACATTTTAGACACTTATCAACGCCAGTCTTTCCCAAAATATTCGACAAAAAGTCACATAACACGTTCACTGTAAAAATAATTTATAATCATAAGATTAAATAATTTGTCATTAATTATGTATGTTAAATAAAAAAGTAATCTTCAAATCAAAAATATTTTTTTAATGTTAATAATTGAAAACAAAGTGTGTTGTTTTTTTTTTCTCCTCAAAGTAAATCGGAGTTTTTTTTTTTACCGAAACGGACTCAGCATGCTCTGTTGAGAGATACATAAATCCGTCCTTTTTTTTAATCTAAAGATGAAATATGAGTATTTCTACTAAGAAAATTGTGTTTCGAGTGGAATGACATTTTCGTATAAGAAAAATTTAACAAAGTCTCGACACGGTTGGTTAATTGCTGTTTACGTATTTTCGTAGGTCCCATGATGCGTCCGCAGCACAACACAGCAGCAGCGGCAGCGGCGGGCCGGCCGCGCGGCAGCAGCCCTGCACGGGGGCGCGGCGGCATGTACCTGGGAGGCGGGGGATCTAGGCCGCCGCACCCGCACCACCTGGGCGGCAGCCGGGCGGCCGCCGCCGCACCAGCGCAGCGGGTGGTGGGCGGCGCGGGCCGTACGGCGCTGCGCGGCGCGCTGCGGCGGCGGCGGCCGCGGCGGCGGCGGGCGGCGGGCCGCCCCGGCCCCGCCAGGCCCGTCCCGGCCCGGCTCCGCGCACGGCCGCGCCGCCAGCGGCCGCCCAACTGAGCGTGGGGCCCGACGGGCTCAGCCTGGGGCGCGGCGGGGGCGGCGCGACTGGCGCCACCTGCTTGCTCTCCCAGCAGCAGAGCGCCTTCTTCAACCGACGCCAACTTCCCGCAAGGTGAGACCACCCCCCCACACACACACACACACACACGCGCCGCGCGCGTCTCCACGCCCCGACCACCCCTTTTTGAGGTTGGGAAGGAAAGTCACAGAAATGAAGTGAATGCTTCATTCTGACTTTCTTTTTCTTTCTGACTATTTTTAAAGAAATTCGACACAAATACTCGTATTGAGGGACTCTAATGTAGAAAAAGTGGATAAATCCTGTTCCGAAATGTAGCAAATTACTCTCTCTATCACGGTTTGTAGTATTTCAGAAGTTGATCAGATTTTGTGCCTCCTTGAACCTATTTTTTAGCATTATACTCACTATTAATCTCAGTCATCTTCACAAATCAATTTCCTTTGTTCTCATGCTTTTTAAAAATGACCTTTCGGTTCTGTCATTTGAATCAAACAAGTTGATATTCCTTATGCAACTATCTCTCACTGTTTATCCCAAGATAGACAAAATAATATGTAACTTTAAAAATACTGAAGAATAACATGCTCGCCAAATTATAACATGCTCGCCAATATAACTGCATAATGATAAAACTACAAAAGCCACAGACTTCTAGAGTATGTACTAGTTTCAGAAATACATTTCTGTGGAACCACGGAACATAAAAAATGTGAGCCTGTCTGTGCTGATGCACATTCATAATACGATAAAATTAAGAAAAAACAGTTTTCAATAAATTATATATCAAAATGTTCAAAAAAGTCTGGATATTATTTTAAGACAAAACACAAAATTTGATATTTTTTTTTAATTTTTTGGATCAAATCTCACCTTAAAGACAATTCTAAACTTTTCAGTTATGTGTTTAACATTTGACATTAACTTTCAGTTATGCGTTCAACATGTGTTTAACTCTTGCATACAAAACTTCTAAAGAAAGTTTTGCACTTGAGCAGATGTTGATGTTTCCCATCATTATTTTGAAGTAACGTGGAAAAAATGTTCTCCATTCTTCAAAGTTATAATTTCATGTGTGCATGATGTTTCATTTATTATACATTTATTTATTTACAGTTTTTAATAGTGCTTGATAATCTTTTCAATTTCCTGACAGGTTCGTTTGGCATGGCTAGTGCGCAAGGTGGCATGCAGATGACACCTGGGCAGATGCAACACGCGCAGATGGTGCGCAATCAGTCACTGGCTGGCTCTCCAGTCAGTCAGATGCAAATGATGTCCCAGCAGCCTGGGATGGGACTGCAGCCCTCCGGCCCAGGGCCTGGGCCAGGCATGGGACCTGGTGGCCAGGTAAACAGTGTTTTAACTTTGAAATTTGTTTGTCATTTAAATCCTGTAAAAACTGTATGTGATGTTTTTAGGGGAAAGTTATCTTCCTCATTGATTGATTAAGACCCAGAATCCCTATCCCTTCTTTTTACTTTAGTTGAATATCAGTAAAAGTACCAACAACTTGTTGGTAACATTTAAAAATTAGGAAGTTTTACATGTGAGTAACTGGATAATACATTCCTAACACATTGAGTGCCGTAAGGCCACCGGCAGCCTCAGCTGAGTGGTCCTGAGACTGCTGGTGGACTCGACACATAAAAATACTAGCAACAATACTTTGTGACACAAAGTGACTGTAGTAACAACAATTTACATAGCCACGGGGTGAAACAAAATAAATCTGACTCATGGTTTGCAGTTTGCTGCATGTTTGCCCACTAACATTTTCACTGTACTTGAAGAATTTGTATTGTTTATGGAAAACTGACTCTTTTGCCCCTGGATAAAACCTGTGTTTCATGGAGGTCACTCAAAGTGTTAAACAGATTTTTGAAGAAATAAATATTTCACCTTTAAAGCCAACACCCTACGAAGTTGATATTTTTACTAAGTATGAAGATATTGAGATTGAGAAGATTTGAGTTTTAATCTATACTCTTTTTCAAAACTTATTAAAACACCAATCACACAATTATTGCTTAATGTTTATTTTTATTTCATATTATGCATCTTAGTTTTATATTTTTCAATACTGTACTGTTCTTTTGTTTGGTGATATGTTATTACAATGCTTATACTCCAGTTTTAAATATAAAACATCTTTCTAATGTAATTTTTTCTATATATGTATTAGACTATGTAATCTTTTGTATTTTAAGTAAAATAATAATAATAATAATAATAATAATAATAATAATAATAATAATAATAATAATAATAAAAAAATATATTTAGCAGCCTTATTTGCGAATATACTTTTTCATTCTGTTTCATTATTGATCTGTGTTTGATATTTCCCTCTTTTGCACAGATGTCAATGAGTCTCCAGATGTCCCAATCCATGTCAGTGAGTGGGAATGGCGCAGGCTCCCCTCATCACCCACCGCATCACCACATGGCTCAGCAGCAGGTCGGCTACACCGGGAGTCCTGGCAGTGCGGGCGCAGGCAACCCAGGACCTGCACCGCAGCCACCCACATCGCAACCGCAGCATTCTGTAGGGACAGGCACATCTGTGGCATCAACCCAGAGCACCACTGCCTCCCAGGCCACAGCAGACTTTAGCCTTGAATTCCTTGAACAGTTGCCGGCTGGTGACTCCAGTCACTTCTCCGCTGCCGCTCAGGAGTTGCTCAACTCCTTAGACTCGGGCTCCACCTTCAATCTCCAAGACATTCTCTAAGGGAGTGATAGTTGATTACCTTTTCTCTTTCCTGTTCTTTGAACAAATGTGAAGAATGTTTAGGAATTGTGTTACGTGAGAAATACAATATTCATGTTCATTGAGATGTTTCTTCTGTGGCATATGAACCAGCATCAGTTGGTTGGGGTGGGGTGAGAATTCAGCGTGCCGTGGTGCTTGTTCAAGACATGTTGTACTGTCATAGTCATGTTTTGAAAGGTAATATTACATATGAAATCAACAGATATTAGTGGTGAATGAATCTTTATGCCCCATGTGTGGAAATTAGGGCACAGTATGCAAAGTGCAACAAAGTTACCAGCAAGTAGTTTGGTAAAGTGAGTGAAAGTGTTTGTATGTTGGTATCTTCAAATATTCACATATGTCATGGTAATCAATCCAGAAGACTAAGTAGTTAAATAAGGACTGTTCACCTTTTTACATCAACTCTTAGTAGAAAAAGTGAGATGTTTTGCAAATATTTAATGATACTGGAAAGCCACTGAATGTAATTCCTTTATGTTTATTGTTCCCTGGGTGCAATCTTAAGCATTTGTCAATTTGTGTTGAACAAAAAATTAACTATCAATACACACTACAAAAATTCTGTGTAGTATGATATAAACTTTTAACAAGCTTCTGCTCTTCGGGATAAGTTTTGAGTTAATGAAAACATTCCAAACCTTTGTATCTTGATACTATTTTAGTGTAATATTGAAAAAACTCTCTGTTATGATTGCAACTTCAACCTATGCCTGCCTTTCTTAATTCAACTTTGATTTTGACTTCTTTGCAGTAAGCAGCAGGGGTTAACATGGCCATAGTGGGAATATACCTGTTGTAATGAAAAAAACAATCTTTTTGCAATACTGTTAAATATTTTGTTATTTAAAATTGAAGCTTCTCTGCTATTACTGGCACAGTTTGATTCCTCTTTGGAGAAGTTATGTTTTGCAAACGTGAATTAACTAATCTGTTGCTTCTGTAATCTATTGATTTTTTCCTGCAACCCCAACTGTCTTGTATTGCTTGAATAATGATTTGATAGCAATCATGAGCATATAGATATTGCAGATTTTATGACCTCAATGCATAAAGCCCTCTTACATAACTCATAGAAATAGGAGATAGATCAAAATGTCAGTACATTGAAGAAAGATTCTTTTAAACTCTATTTTTGATGAAATATTTTCTTTGTCATTGTAACTTGTAGTTTATAATTAACATATACATATATGCCATAATAATTCACTATTTTGTATCACATACCTGATAAAGCCCAATCGCTTATTGTAACATAATTTTTGCACCCTTACCCTATGTATTCATTGTTCAACTGTTCCGCACCACTTGAATGCAATCCGAAAGTGCAATCTTAACAGTGGTAACTACCTCAGCTGTGTTGAAAAATACCTTTCTCCCCACTGAACATTTTTGTTACCAAATCGATTTTGAAAACATATTCTAAAGTACAAGTGACCAAACAAATTTGTACACAGTCTGTTATAATTTGTGAAAGTTGCTGTCCAGCCTTTAGTATTTGGACCTTTTTAAAGCAACAATTGAAAATTTCATTTTTTTTTTTTTTTTTCAGGAAATTATAAAAGAAGCTTTTTATCAACGTAAATGCATAAAATGTAACATAATACTTGCTATTTTCAGTAATGTGGTGAACAACTTGAAGTGATGTAAAGAATGGCTGTGGGACCACTCAGCAAAGGAAATCAATTTTAGGTGCCCTTGGCATTTCCAGTGTTTTAGAAAGGCAAGCATTTCTGTGTGGGATCAAAGTTCAATTATTGTTAAACAGCAAAAAGAGTTGTTACTAAAAATTACTTGAAAATATGAGCAGACAATGGAATCAGTATTTTTGTTATTCATTTTTTTAAATTTTTTTTTTTTTTTCTTTTCAGTTTATTTTGTGCTTGTAAGTAGTAGATTACAAGACAGTGATAGGATTTTAAAAGATCATATATACAAATATATAAAAATATATATACTTATATAATATTAATGTATATATTAAAAAGATTGTTGATATTAATGATAAAAGAGTTGATATTTGCTTGAATTGAAGTGTGTTAACATCTACATGCTTCAGTAAGAATGGAGACCATTCCAGTTAATAGTATATCATTTTTCATTTTGTTTCTGTTTTGTTTACTTGTGAATGGCTGGAGTGTATCGAAAAGTTAAAATGTGAGCGAATTAAAAACATTTAATTGGTGGAGTACAGTCAAGAGGATGTGAGTGACAAGAATTAGAACTGGAAATAATTTGCTTATTAGAATGATTGAGATAATAGTTGTTTATACATTTCATTCCACTAGTCCTGGGCATAGGTGGTAGTCAATGAGAAATGGCGCCTCACTCCAAGATAAGTGGGTATTGAAGATATTTGCAATATAATGAATTACGAATTCAGAATTATGATGGAAGGTGCTGTGGTTATTGCCCTCACTTTCACTTTAAGTACTTACTTTTTTCTTGAGTTTATGATATATATGATGGATTCAGAAAGAGGATGATTCTCATGTCAATTATAAACATTGATTATTACTTTTAAAATGTTCATAAAGTAACCAAAGACTTGTTTAATACCAAGGATTCATTGTAAATGTTCACTGCCATTTCAATTCATACAACTGATGGGAGTGTTGTGTGAAATAACTCTTGGATCTGATCTCTCAACAGATTTGGATGTACTTGGAATCGTATTATTTTAATGAGTGAGTCACACCTTTTCCAAAATAAAGTTAATTCAAGATTGTATGGGAGAGTGAAACACTTGAGTTGTTTTTCTTAGGAAATACATTTAGCATTTAGTATTGAAATAATTTTTATAAGGATCTCAAATAATTATGGCAGGATGAACAACTGGGAGCATGGACAGAAGAAAAGCCTCTTATCTTCAGTATTTTATTTTTTCCTTATGATGCTAGCTAACAAGTTTGAACTACATATAATCTATTTTATTTATAATAGTGAATCATAAGAGATTGTGAATAATCACAAAAATGTGCAATCCATTTGTTAGTAAAATGTTCCTTTATTGTAATGTAAAGTATCTAGGAATAAATAATTTACCTCTAATATCATTTGTGTATTGTATCATTGCATTTTAATCACACTGTTTTGTGGAAAGATGACAATATTTTGATACAAAGTTATTAGCGTTAATGACCAAATACAGTATTTCAATATCATGACAGGCAACATTTCTGTGTCCATGCTCTTTCTCTCTTGACTGTGCATCCATCAATTGCACAATGATACTCAAATGTGCATCATGGAAACACTTGTGTATTTTGAAGTGTAAGAAGTGTTTCCTCATGAGAACATTGCGTTCCCTCTTCCAAGACTCGGAAATAATTGTACGTTTTTATGCAGTGTTGTATGATAAGATTGTTCAATATATATATAACATGGAGTATGGCGTATTAAAGGAAAGACATTATCCAATATTAACATTGTTTGTTGCTTGTTCCTTGGAGAAAATGAACAAGGAAGAAAAATTCTCCCATGTGAAGTATTGTGTATGTGTCCCTCTGTCCACCACCAGCACCAGCACCAGCATAGTGAGCTTGGTGTGCTGTATGTCTTGCCAAATTAAGCCCCTTGATGTGTCACACTTATTTTTATTAGCTTTTCTTTCTCCTTACTTTGTGATTAAATCTTGTAAATTGTAAACATTGTGTTTTGTATTTGTTTCTGTATTATGTTTTCATGCAAAATTATACAAAGTTATATATATATACACATGTTTATCTAATTATTTACATAGACAGATACAGCTAAAATGGTTTGCCTCACTTTCACTTATGCCCTTTGTTTTTTCTTTGTTTTATCTGATAAGGACTCTCAAAATACAATAATTTCTTTTGTGTTAGTGATAAGACTATCTCATATTTTTGGGCTTGCGGCCAAACTACTACTAAAAGATTCTTTGAAAATGTTTTTTCCTCTTGTTTTAATTTAATGGCAGAACGGCTTACATGAAATTCACTCTTTAAACAGTTTTTGTTCTTAATTTTCTTCTTTTGGTAAACCATCTATCTCAGTGTTGACAAATACACTACACTAATACCTCATGAATAAGAAAATATCAATGTACATGAGAAATTTCCAGCCAGAATAAAAATTAATCAAAGTAACTGATACTATGCAAAGCAAATGTTACTAATAAATTATTTATCCTGATGGTATTCTAATTTATAACATTATTATTAATTATATTTATTAAACCACTCCATCTGAGACCTTAAATGCTGTTCATAAACAGTACCTATTAACATGCATGAATGCATTTCAAACTAGAAGATTTTGTGGTTTTTAAGTCTAGAATATTGACTGGTTTATCTCTAAATTATTGGTTACTTCCTGGGAATGAATACCATTTATCCTTGTCACAGCACTAAACCTCATGAATTGTAAGAGTGAAGTGTGGATTGATTTAGGCAACCTAACAACTACTCTATTTTTGTAAGCACTTATAATGAATATCAACAAACAAAATGTCATTGTATTTTGAACCAGGGCTTGGATTCTGATGACCTAAAAATTCTTTGAATATTGCTTCAAAATAATGGGAAAATGATTTTTTTTTTTTTTTTTACTAAAAAATTTGAATGAGAATATTTATTTATTCAATGATATTTAGAATTTTAAAGAATTTCTTTACACAAAATTAAATTTAACATAAAGTCTTTATTATAGGAGGAAATGTAATACTTATCTCTGATTTTCCAAACGTCAGTTCTGAAAAGACAAGGAAGTTACCAAAGTGCTGTATAATTTTAAGAGTTCATAAAACAGAGTCAACTGCAGTAGAGAATTTCGTCATGAACTGATGATACAATAAACAATTTGTTTTAATGTGTCATTGTAAATTCATGAAACATTCACTAAGAAAAAACAAAATGTGTTAAAAATGACAAAAATGGTGCAAAGGTTCGAAAAAATGACCTAAAAATTGAGAAATGGCAAAAAAAGACCCTATAACTGTACATTTCTGTCACCTATATGTTGTGGTAATCATTCATTTACAAGTTAGCTATGTCTAGAATGCACTAACGAAAAGATGACATTTTAACAGAATCCAAACTCTGCTTACAACTAAAGCTCGGAAGTTCAGGCATTTATTTTACCTAAAATAGGCAGGCAAAAAAGCATTTAGTTTCGCTAAAAATAGCATTAAAAACAGACATATATTCTAACTAAAGTGTGGGGTGCAAGAACGCATGTAAACTATGAGAACTTGCATATAAAAGGAATTTAAAAAATTAATATTTAAAATTATTCAAACACTCAAATTTACATTATCACTTAACTTGTAAGAAAACAATATTTTCTTTGTAATCTTCATTCCACCATGCGGTATGATGATTATGATTTTTTTTTTTCTTTTTTTTCTTATGATGCTGTCACTTGAAAATGCTATTATGAATTCCCTTTTGAATCTTGAAATGCCATCAGAGAAAACAGATTTATATTCTTCCTTTTTCGCACTTGTGTTATAGCCAACACGGAGACGGGTATATCATATACAGAGAAATGTCTGCAAAAGAATGGGTGGTCATACTCAATGTAGAATGGGATTGCTTGTGAGCGAACAAAGTCTGATGGTATCAATGGAAAAGTCAAAAATCTTTATTAGTATCATCCTCCTTTTTCATTGAGACTTTTATCACATTATCTGTTTTCACAGAAGGACAAGACATGACCATGCCTTTGAGTTGTATAGCGATTATGCGATTGGTGCCAGGAGAAAAAATAAGCAAAATGATGAGTAAGAAGCCAAAAATAATGCAAAACTACAAAATTGGCATCAGAAACTAAAAAAGACAAAATAAAAATCTACTACAACTGTACAATTACGTGATATATATTGTTAAAAGTCATAAAATAGTAACAGTAACATAAGGGCATTTTGCCAAATTTCCAGGCTCTATTTATAACTTTAACAACAGATGTCAAGGCTTGCAAGGAAGGGCATAAAAACAATGAAAAGAGATGTGATGAAATTGAATCCTTGCAAAAAGATACCGCAAGTAAAGTTGAAGATATGTCAACGGAATTTCGAAATTTCCCGTGCTAGGATTTTGGAGAGATTGAGGAGTGTGATACGCGAGAAAAAACGTAATCCTTTGTGGGATGCAGGAAGCTGAGACTGGTGATACCAAGGGGCGTGCGTCTCAAGATCTGGAAACTGTGAGAAATGTTTTGAGTAAATTAGATGTAGGTAATATAATAAAATTGGATCACGATTGGTCATTGTGGTTAGAGAAACAATTAATGCGCTAATGCGCTAATTGTTTCTCTAACTACAATGACCAATCTCGTGAACCAATTTTATTATTCGTCAATAGTCGTGCTTCTACAATGGTAGATATAGGTATTGAATGTGTACCGTGAGATTCGGCAAATTAGATTGTAAGGCCTCTAATTTCAGATCTATAAAAGTTGTCTTGAATAATGCCTACATAGCTAAAGAGCTACTGAGAAAGGATAGGAAATGACCAGATGTAAATGTATATGGTGATCTTTCCCTAATATACAGATACAATGATCTTTCCTTAATGCAGAGAAAGAAGTTGGAAAAATCTCAAGGAAAAACTGACAGATGAACAGAAATTGAATCCGAATCTAGTTATCTGGTATAGTAGAAGTTAGTTCGACCAATTTCTCTCAGATGTTAACTCTGTACAGCCAGATGTCATGATAGACACGGAATATTTGGCTTAATTCAAATATCCCAAACACTTTTATTCACATTCCTGATATCTTTATCTATCGCAGTGATAGACCAGATAGACGTGGGGGAAGAGTCCTGATTTATGTGAGACAGAAAATTGAATCAATTAAAGTAAGAGTAACGATGATGCGTAATTTTGAAGATCATGATGTAGAAGGATTATGGCTGAGATTGAACCTTCTGCGTGGAAAGAAGCTGTAGTTTTACGTATCTTCAAGAAAGGTGAAAAACGGTTTTCAAAAAAATACAAGTTGATAAGTCTGACTAGTACATTTAGGAAGGTTATGGAGAGAATAATAGTTCAGAGACTTCATGATCATGCTGGAAGAAATAATTTAATCTCCGTTCAACAACATGGATTTGTCTCCAGTAAATCAAAAACCAAGAATTTGATTGCTTCGCTTGATGTTTGAAATAAGACCACAGATCAAGGGCAACCTATGGATGTAATATACTTAGATTACACAAAAGCATTTGATAAAGTTCCTCACAAACAAATTATTGCGAAATTATAATCATTGAAATACAGGGAAAATTGCTCGCATGGATATGAGAAAACCTCATCTCCATCGTGTTTTTGTCCAGTTTCCCTGATACATTGAGCAAATGCTGAGATGGCCCCTTGTTTTGCTTCTGGACGAATAGTAAATGTAGCTTCACTATGTGCACGCTTTGTTGATTCTTCTTTTGCTTGTAGTGATAGGAGTAGAGGTATGGGTGAGTTATAATTTTGTTAGCAAAGCAGAAAAATCAAACCTACAATTCCTTTACCGTTGCAAATAAGTTTTCTATAACTCAAGAACAAAAATGTCTAGTTTTTCAAATGTTGATAACCTCGCGCTTTTGAACATTTTATTTTTATTTATTTATTTTCAACTTTAACTCATCCTTCAATTGTTTTAGTTCAAATGAGGGGAAGGGATTTTGGAACTCGAGAAAACGTGCACAGAAAATCTTCTCCCCCGTACGTCGTATTGTGTTTATTGTTTTTGACTAAATAAATCTAAATCTAATTTTCAAGTACGACATTTCTAGTGAGTAATAAAGACGTGATGTCAACATCTCGACATGTTACAAGTGGGGTTCCTCAAGGGTGCGTTTTGCGCGAAAGTTTTTCCATAAGAGCCTGCACTAATTTAAACTTTGTATATTAAAAAAATAGGTTGGTAAGGACCAAATTGTTTCTTACCCTCTTGAAGAACAGAGATTTTACTTTCATTTAAGCATTGCAGGATTTCATTTAAGAATTAAAGAGAATTTTACAAAATGGCACTTCTTTACTGTTGCAGCCCAATCATGACTTTTGATCCAACTTGGGAAATACTTGATAACTAACTGTTAATCTTAATTGTTTTTATGAATATTGAATAGAGAATTAGCCTTTGAAATTTGGTGTAGCCGTCATACGTATTCTGAAGAAAACACTAGATTCGTTGAACAGTTTTCTTGAGAACAATTTACAAATATTTCATTTAAACATTTTTGTGGGGGAGTTATTTCATAAGGAACAAATTTACTTCATAAGTCCAAGTCTCCAAAATAATTATTATAAATTAAAAATCACATGCACCAAAAATACACGCTCATTTGTAGTTCATTATACTCATTGTTGAATGCAGCTCCCAACGAGCACCAATAACCAGACGGCATCGAAAGTTTCTAAGTTTTTTGAATCTAATGATCCCACAACTTGAATTGCAGTGAACGACTGCATTCACTTTGTGTATTTCCCCCTCCCCGCTCACCTGGGAGATATTTGTACTTTGTTGTACATACAGTCAGAGCAGTACAGCACCGTAGTAAGAAGTTTGTTCTAGTGGAGCTTAATAATTTAGCGTTTGACGAAAGAGTATTCAAGGCTGAAATGGGGCCATTATTCATACAGAACATTTCAGGACATCACGAGACGAAATGTTGACCAATTATTATAAATTCCAACAAGGTGTGAATGTCATTGATTTAATAAATTTTAGTAATCAATGACCACTGTAACGCTCTCGCATTATGATTGAGCAACTTAGCAATTCGGCGATAAAAGTGCAAATATTTCCCAAGAGTTTGCTCCACCAATAGCTCGCTTCGTATGTGACCGCAACGAGCGTGCATGGCGCGGAGCAAAGTTAATTTGTGTGGGTGGAAATTATCGGGATGGGGGTCTGGGAATTTTCCCGCTCTAGGAAGATAGATACCATGCCTATAGGAAAGAAATAATTTCTCCTGGCTGAGGATACAATTAAAACATATCTATGTACCTCCTTTATAATATCCACACCAATCATGTAATCGGGGAATGTAAATCAAGGAAATCGGGTAAAAAGAAACTTTCACAAGAACTTTTTTAGTATTTATTTCTACCGTACTGCGTAGGCGAAGATGGTCTTGGACTCGACTCG